ATTTCAATTAATACAACAAGGGAAATGCAATAAAGACCGAAATAATACTGTTCGACAAGTTTGTATAGTCACAAGCAAGGCACTTTGAGATTTTTTGACTGCCCGGGTGACTGCCTGACGTTTAGTCCCAGAACTAAACATCAGGCAGCAAATTTTTTTGTGAAAAATCGTCAGAATAACCGTAATTTCAATTAATACAACAAGGGGAATGCACTAAAGACCGAAATAATACTATTGGACAAGTTTGTATAGTCACAAGCCCCGGTCACAAGCACGGCACTTTGAGATTTTTAGAGTGCCTGACGCTTAGTCCCAGAACTAAACGTCAGGCAGTCGATGTTTTTTTTTGAAAAATCGTCGGTTCAACCGTAATTTCAATTAATACAACAAGGGAATGCACTAAAGGCCGAAATAATACTATTGGACAAGTTTGTATAGTCACAAGCCCCGAGGTAACAAGCACGGCACTTTGAGATTTTTCGACTGCCTGACGTTTAGTCCCAGAACTCAGGCATCTTGGTTTATTTGCCAAGATATAAGCAATTTTATACGCTATTTTTTATAAGGAAATGTATGGCGAGTTCATGTGTATATGCTTGCACGGCACCAACATTTTTAGAGARTTTTAAAATGAAAGRTAAAATTTCGGTACTTTCACATAATAGACGTATTGAAATTCTGTAATTCTGTGAAATTTTGAGTCGAACCGAGCTTTTGTTGCAAGTTTATAAGCAATTTTATATGCCGATCTTTACAAAGAAATGTATGGCGGGACCGTATATACTGGTGGACCTCAGAAGTCCACCAGAAATGGCAGCTAACTGTTATGAACGTAATTTCGGGTACAAAGTAGCAAATATACCTTATTTTCCCTACATTTAGCGATTCTAAATCTATATTAGAACAAAAAAAAACAAAAAACAAACAAACAAACTACGATTTAGAAGAATTTTAGATGTTTCCACGGCTTTGTGTGACATGACTTTTTTTCTAAACTATATTTTAGAGTAAAATCGATTTCATGGGAAATTAAGTTTAAATTAATTTTTTTTTGGATCTATGACGTAACGTGCAAACGAAGAATGGCGTGCCATCTGATGGTGACGAGATTACTAGCGCGATGGATACTTCTGGTTACTTCTAATTATCATTACTGCGGATTAAGCTTGTCTACTCTAATCGATCAGTCAGTAATTCAAGTTTTTTTATTTTTAGACAAAATAGGGTCCAGTTCCTTGTTCGCTGGTCACTCGTGCAAAGAAATCAAAGATATTGGTGATTCTGTTGGAGATGCGGAGTACTATCTCGATCCTGGTAAAACTGGAAATCCCTTCAAAGTCTACTGTGATATGACAACTNGGTCCTTATACAGCCTTTTTTATGCAGTGTTAGAGTTTTCATATATAGAAAATGACAAGACCTGAAATGTCCATTTCCAATCCGTGCCCGTCGCCTTCAAGGTAGAAACTTACAATATCTCCATTTTTAGTGCCATAATGGGTCAAGTATTTGCTTATATTATCAACAAAATCTCAAAAGGGATGTGTGGCGCACAAAGACCCTTTAATGGTCTTGAATTATGAATGGAAACAAAAAGTCAATCGGACACAACAACTAACAAATGGCTGGCGCTGCAGTCTGAAAAGAAACAAGAAAAAAAAGAAAAAAGCCATACATTATTATTTTTTTAATGTTTAAATATTATCTTTGTTGAGAAATGTCTCGCAATGTGCTCAGTAAGTTTGAAGTTCAGAAAATAACCAAACATCATTATTGTAATGACAATTCAAAGTGTAAATAGCGTAAAAAACAACAATTTTCACAAAAAAACTTTAAAGTTTGAAGATTATGTTTAATCAATTTACAAGTTAGAGCGATTTATTTCCATAGTCACTCTAGGACTAAAATGAAAAAAAAAAAAAAAAAAAAAAAAAAAAAAAAAAGAACAAAAAAAAACATGAGGAAAACTGCCCTGAAATTTATTGTTCGATCGCTATTCTCAAACACTTTCGCTTTTTTAGGAGGATGGACTTTAATAAAGAGGTCAGTCCTGCCCAGCACTACTTCCCCAATTGTACCTGTAATGCGATCAGACTACAGATACCTCAGTAACTACAAGGACTAYAAGCAAAWTATTTATGCATCAGGCATAAATCARCTAAGAAACGACATGGGYTTCCACCAGATTCGGTTTCGATGCCACAAGAAAAGYATCAATCGAACCATTCACATCATGACCACCAACAATACCGCTGGCCACAAAGTACTGGATCACTTTACTGTCAAAGCATCTTGGCCTGAAGCATGCGGTTCGTTTCAAATGCTTCCTGATGATACCTCCATCCTGTCACGGAATTGCATGAAATGGGGGTATGATAGTAATAATAAAGTAGAGGCTAATTTATGGGGGAAGTATGGGAATCCAGGGGAGCAAAGGTTATACTACAAGACAATGACATGGGGCGAGAGATACTGTTTCAATTGCGTGAATATGTTCTTCTGTGATGACTGTTTTGGAGTTCAAGGTAAACTCACCATTGGAGACACTTGGGAAATATTTGTTCGATAAACTAAGGCTATGAAGGGCGTATCCAGTTAGGGGCAAGGGGGGCCACTGTAGACCCTCCTATGGACATAAAGAATAAACTGTTTTTATTATTTCAATTGTTGTTTGTAACAAATAAAGTTCATTTAGCCCCCCTTTAAAACTATGTAGCCCCCCCCCCTGAAAATTTCAGCTCGATCCGCAATTGGCTGTTATCACCTTATGCACTCACCTTGATAGCAATGGCATTGTCGTAATGAAATGGTACTCAAACRACACAAACAAAGCTGATAGAAATACAGTAAAACCCCGCGTACTGAATAGGTTTTTTGTATCAATGGTACTTAAATGTCAGGCCCTCTAGGTTCTTAAATAGGTTTCTTATTTTTTGATAAGAAAGAGTACTTGCTGTACTGTTGAGTATGGCATTTCTTTATCAGATAAGCCAAACATTTTCTGCATGGAATACAATAGAGTAGAAACACAATGCATGATGGATAAGTCTGCATAAGGAGTGCTTGAATTCATTGTTTACAAAGTAAAAAAAAATGACTTTTTAGAAATTAAACCCACTGTTAAATTTCAGGATGAAATTGTTTTTATGTTAAGCCTGCCTTCAACTCGACAATGTCTTAAATTCTAGGTTCTTATACGCGGGGTTTTGTTGTAATAGTGAACATGGTTAAACTAAGGAGATTAGGAATCACCATGCTTCAGGAGGAGCCGACGGGGTCTGTTCTTCTGAATAACTGTTCCTAGTGTACAATTTTTTTCCTGGGAAAGGGTCGGAATTTCGAATTCCTTTTGAAATATTTTTGCTCCTTGCAAACTTTTTTAAGCTCAAAAAGGCTTATATAACGTTTTTTTGGTCAAAAACGGCTTAGGTTTTTTTAGTTAGGAAATATTTATTTTCCTGGCAAAAATTCTTAGAAAGTATTCCTTGCCTGGAGAGTTCTTTTTTCTTGAATTTCTTCCTGGCAACCAGTTGTGACTTATATCTGGCTGGGACAAAAGAACAGATACATTTCTCCCAGGAACCCGTCTCGGCTCCTCCTAATGCTTTGCTGCACAAAATGGCGTTGCTGTACATTGCCTATATGYACGCAGCAATTCTGTCATATATCAACCTTTTTATGAWTCTTCAGTAGTTTGTTGTTTGATTCATCGATAATACATTCTGGTCTATGCGATATGTAYTTAATRCAACATGCTAAGGCCTAAAAAAATCGGGCACTTTAATAGTTGTGAATTCGATGATGTAAGCGCATACCGATTGGCTCAGTTGGTTGAGCATCGGACTACAATGCGGGAGTTTGTGGGTTCGAAACMTGGCCGGACMAATACTCAGGGTCTWAAAATAATTGAGTAGAAGTTGCTGCCTTTATTTCTCCATCTGCAAATGGTAAGATCTTCACGTCCTCTCGGATAACGACGTTAAAATCGTAGGTCCCGTCACCCTACTCTACTCTATAACGTGTTAAGTAAAACAGGATTTATATTTCTTCATACTTAAAAAATACCACTTGCAAGCAGACGATAATTTAATTTTAAGCTTTTGCATACTTCAGCACATCTCAAGCTATTTCTTCATGAGCACCTTGCAAAATGAACGTACTCATTTATTTAACAGATACATAATTCACTGGGGCGGATTTAGACTAGTTCAACTATTTTCCGGAAACTAGTCAGATTTCTCCCAAAAATGTAATTGAAAAAACGATAATTCAAATAAAATTTACAAACGAAAAGAATTAGATAGTGTTAAACCGGACTTTCAAGACACAAAGTGCATCCTAATCAATWATCAATCKATGATAAAAGCTATATTTTCTGAAAATTTGGTGCTTGTTTCATAAAAGTGAAGAACAATCCAGCCTATTTTTTTCTCATCCTCCGGATTATATCCAATACTTACAAATTGATGGATCTGACGGATTTGTAAACATTGTCTGGATGATGATGTAAAACTGTTAAATATGTAACCATGGACGCTTGTCACAGTTTATACTGCCTCTGACCCTCAAAAAACAAGCACGAACTCAACCAAGAGGAAAACAAAAATCTGAGTGCCCCCTGTACAAGAGCGACCGAAACCTTGCAAATAGCTCGTTCATCCTCAAAAATGTATGTATATAGGCAACGTCCGTSCGGGCTTTGGACTCCCTGATGTCACTTCGATGATTTTTTTTACCAGATGGCATATCTTTGCAACAAAGCAATACACAATTGGAGATTACTGGCTTCATTTTCATTTTCATGTCAGGTCAGACATGTAGTCTGCTACTGGTAACATTGTAACCCAGTACAACCTGCCTCATGGACGGGTTGTCGGCGTCTAAATCGGCACCCCCACCAGTCTACACTGGTGAGGAGGGTGGCATGACTCCCAGCAGGACCAAAAACAAAACCTGTCAAAGGGCGAATGAGCTCATTTGAGCCACCGGCCATCATGCAAAAACATTTGACTTGTTTATTGTGATGTAATCTGATTGTTGTACTTTTTTAGTTTGAGATCTTGGGACGGACTGTGCAGCGGCAGCCAGAGGCGCCAACTCAAGTTCACAGTCTACCAAGACTCTCATGTGTTTTGTAGTTGTCATGTAGTTTTAAAGCGCTTATAACAGAATTGGATAAGCGCTATATAAATAGCATTATATTATTATTATATATTATGCATTTTAAAGATAATTCCGTTGCACAAAATCGGCAAAATCGTCTGACAAAAAATGCCCACGAACGTCTTTTACGGCTTTTTTCCCGTTTGTTTCGAAAACACAACTAAAAGAATGTCTCGATTGGGGTCTATTTTACGGTTGACGGCCAAAAAGAAAGCGTTTTGACGGYTGATATGGTTAATTTTACAATTTGACACTAACTTTGATTAAYTTTAGATCTATCTAATTCAAAAATTTATATTAATGTTTATTTAAAAATATTTCAAAAAGATTGATAGATAAATTCTCTGGATGTTGTTTCCTGATCGAGCTTTTTTCAACTAACTATTTAAAGATTTTTACAAGGTAATTTCTATGATACCCTGAAAAAGTTTTAAAMATTTAAAAATTCCTATTTACTTGGCTTTGACATTTATGAGCCTAATTAGTGTTGGTACGAAAATGGGCGTAAATATATGTTATTTACCGGCTGGGAGGTCCGTAAGGGAAAACACTGCCCGAGRTCCTGACAGTACGAACATAAAAGACTGAGGGCAGTGTTCCTATGCGGACCGACCTATGGGCGGTAAATAACATTCTCATTATTTTTTTATTTGTATTTTCTGCAACTTTGCTCGTAGCCTAGCTGCATGAGGATACCATGGACCTCGCAGATCGTGAAATACCGGACCGCGCGCTAGCCAATCAAGGCGCTCTAATGACTAGGATACCGGACGGAAAAGAAATAATTACGAAAACCATAATACATCGCTGGTCTTGACTCTTATTTTTTTGGTGGTTGACATTTAGTTAATAAAAACATCATACAAATTTAGTCTGTCTATAATAGGCTCTCTATAACTCGGGGGAATTTGGAAGGAAACCACTCAAAAGGCTGAAAAATTCTCGCCTCCGGATCGAGATTATTAACGCCTTTTTTGTTGTTTATTGCTTAAATAAATAGCAATAACAATTGCATTTTTTTACAAAGATCTGTTAACATATACTATATGAATATCACTTTAAAATATCTAATAAATTTGAAAAAGTTGATCATATGATACTAAAGGTGTTTGTATTTATATTATATTTGTATTGAATGTGTTTTTCAGAACTAAAACGGCAATATGTATTTTTGTTGCTAACTTGTTTTATAGATCTGTATCTCGACATCCATTCACCAGTTGTTACGATTTATCTGTATTCAATGCTCTTTCATTTATTTCTATAGTCTCCTTGGTAGGTTTGTTGTTTGTCTCAGGCAGGGTAAGACTAAGTATTCCAGCGATGAATGCAGATATTGCAAATATGGAATATGGTAGTAAGATATGGATTCGCACCTGAAAGGAGAAGCAATAGACCTTTTGCATGTAACGGTCAAGTGATAAGAATTCCACCATGCATACTGGATGGTTAAATAACTAAAGGAGCGTTTCTCCCTCAAGTTTAACTTTTTCTAGCCTGCTAAGAGGCGTTTCTGCTGGGGGCCGATAAGGACTAGGGAGAGGAGCAAAAATCTGTTCCGCTTAACTTTTCCTTAATGTTTTGAACATCCCAGTTGGTATATTTTACCCTCCAGCATGGCGGACTTAGTACTATGTTACTGTCCTATGCGTTTTGCGTCGGTAGATGATCGCGATCCTAGTGCATGTTGGGATGGCGATCATTTACCGACGAAAAACGCATCACGACAAAAAGGACCACAAATCCACACTCAGAAAGCCTAAAGTATATTTCTAAACGAAAAAAAAGTCGACGTTGAAAATGACCTAATTTTAAAGAAATTTCAACGGCTTTCGGCTGATAATCGCCATTGGGGGCCTGGAGCCGACCTCTCTTCTCAATAGTCTGGTAAACCTGTGGTTTATTCTACTCTTGCCTGTACTGTTATTTTGAGAATAATCAGTAATTTACTATAATTCAGGTAACTAAGGGCGCTTTCCATTTGTCAGAACTGGCTGGCCAGACCCAGAGAAAATGTCATTATATATCATTCCAATTTAGTTGGGAAATTCAAATTTTCAATTCTATCCACTATTCTATAGAAAACCTCCAAATGACTGAAAAATGTTGACAAAAAGCATAATATACCTCTAAATAGAGCGGACTGGCCGGCCAGTTCTACTTAAATGGAAGGCACGCTAAGATAACAAGACGTGTAATATTCACGTCTCATGATACTCGCTCATTCGATTACAGAAGGTGCAGTGGGCATAAAAAAAAGAAAAATAAATACATTAACCCTATTCAGACTGGTGGGGGGGGGGCTTTTGAGCCCCCCCTCGCGTAAAAAGCCAATAACTTTCGAACCAAGACAGCTAGAGTTC